CCCTGTACTACCATGTAACAATAGTGATAATTGTAACCATTACTGTATTAACAGAGTAATGCAGTCTCCAACGGTAATCACCTGTATCATCTTGTCGTCATTACATGCTTAGGACAAAGCCAATTTCCAAATATTATAAGGTACATTCAAATTAAACAAAAAAATACTCTAAATAATATGCATAGATAAAAAAGAATTAGCTCCATACCAAAATTATTTAAAAAAATAAAATAATTAACCAGCATAAAAATAAATGTGTTTGGTCCATATAACAGGAATTACGACAAAATATAAAATAAAGTTCCCAAAAATTCGTGTCATTATCAAAGGTTTCTTTAGAAGGCTGCAGGTTAATTTGTCTTTATCATGTGGCAGCAATTGCCTACTATTTGCATTCCAATTCTCACTTTTGTGTTGATGGAATGTATTGGTGACAATCAAGGCTTGGAACGGAAATTTGTCAGCAATGGTCGCCGCATAATAAAAGCAAATTATCCATCTAATCTTGTCCATATTGACTCATTATTTGTCTACTTTCCTAATAAATGTGTGTGAAAGAATATAATTTAGCAGCCTACTTTCTTGATGGGGCATTCTGATCAGAATTTTATGGAAAATCCTGGTTATTATACACAAAATGTAGTTTTAGTGAGACAGTTTTTAGCATCTAGTTGCGGCAGTTAGTAGGTGGAATGTCATTGGCCTCAGGTGATGTTATAGTCGAGCAATAAATCACAAGTTGGCAGTGCTTTGAAATTAATCATTCACACTTTTGATCTCTCAACATTTTCACTCAATTGTATGTGAGATTTTGCACAAAAGATACAACTTATTTTAGTACAATTTAAAGTATTTTGAAGCATTTTTATCAGAAACTGAACAAAATACTATGTTTAAAGCAAAAGGCAAAAATTGACAATGGCTGATGATATGCAAATAGCCTAATTAATATGCATAGACAGAACACATAACTCCTCTGTGAAAGGTAACACAAATTGACAATGGTTGCTGATATGCAAATCACATAATTAATATGCATACACAGAACATATAACTAGTTTATGAAAGGCAACATAAATTGACAATGTTGGTGATATGCAAATAGCCTAATTAATATGCATAGACAGAACACATAACTACTCTGTGAAAGGCAACACAAATTGACAATGTTGGTGATATGCAAATAGCCTAATTAATATGCATACACAGAACATATAACTAGTTTATGAAAGGCAACACAAGTTGACAATGGTTGGTGATATGCAAATCACATAATTAATATGCATATACAGAACACTCGAAGAATGTCCTTTAGCTGAAGAATACACTAAAAAATCTATATTACAAAAACATTCAAACATTGTTCCAGAAATCTGAATGGTTAGTTACAGAAATAAAATAAAACTTGACTGTCTCACATTTAGAATCAAAAAATTCAAGTAACTATGCCAGTGAAATTCTAACAAATTTCTTATTTATTTTTTATTAGTATCACTCTTTTAAACTTGCATAGATTATGATTAACCTATTATTTAATATTCCATGAACTGCATGTATTTCAGTAAATTTCTATCAAAATTAACATCTGAAGTTAGCATTAAAGCTATAAAGATAGCAGAAACTTTCTACACAGGTTGCTTGCAAATTGTAAAACAGAAAATACTTTCCAATGCTATTGGCAGAGAGAAAAAAGATTTCTTTAAAAACTGGATTACATTGAACAAACTAACACACATACACATGTTCTTTAATCATACTCGTCATACTGTAGAATACTTTATTTTCGCTTGGAATTAATTTTCACTATTTTCGCTGAAGGAATGATTCAGTGAAAAAAAAAATCCATCGAATATACCTTTTTTCCTGTATTTTACATTCAACTCGTCAAAAATCAGTGAAAATAAATTCCATACAAAACATCCAAAAAGTCTATTCAGCAAAAATTAACTCCAGCTAAAATAAAGTTTATAACAGTAGTTAAGACATCTGAAATAAATCTTTTTTTTTATACATGCATGTACATGATAAAGCAGTATTGGACTAGAGTGAGTAACTAGTTAGTTGGCTAGTAGCTAGTAATCATTTAGAAATCTCAATATATGGGTACTTAAGCATTAAAATTATTGATTTTAACACTAGCATAGAGAACTTAAAGCAGGAGGGTCGTCACCTGCGTACGTGCAGGAATTGAGTTCCAAGCGACGATAATAACACACGCTAAAAGCGCAAAGGCTCATGTGTAGACGCTTGTTTGTAAACAACGACACACTATGGCTATCTGACGCATGCGCAGGTGACGACTCCCCCGCTTTAATCAAATCTAAATGTGAAGACAATATAGAAGGGGTGGACAGCAAGAGATATTTTACCAACATATTTGTTATGGCCATTTTATTTGGGAGAAAGCTAATAATACAACTACAGAAGGATTAATATTGCACTGCCGCAAACAATGTTGCATTTTATTGTGAAGAATACATAAGAATATGTTTTAAAGATGTAAGAATTATTGGGTACTGTGTTTTGATTTTAGTGGATCCATGTAATACAGAACCAAAGTGATCTTTGAGAAACTAAATACATGGGGCAAATATTAGGACACACAGACTAAGTATATACAAAGTAAACAACACCGATTATACAGCGAGAGGAGCAAGTTGTGTTCCAACACAAAAATTCATTTCCAGCTATACGCATGCAAAGGCTTGAAATCAGCAGTAACCTAAGGCAAAGAAACTACCAATTTGTGTTCCAGGGTTACCATTTCCCAGAATCGCAGCCCAACCGGACTACTGGAAAGTTTTAAATAATTAAAA